CTCCAGTTGTTCGTCTGGATCATCCGAGTAGGATATAACAGACAGAGGAAGAGTAGAAAAGTCCTCTTTAAACACGTCCTCTTTAAAGTTCCTAATGTCCCGGATAAATTTATAACGAGGCTGGAACAGAGGGAGCCGTACATTGACGCATGCGTAGATGGCATCGTGGTCTCTTACAATAGAGCATGGAATTATACCAGTGTCACCTTTTGCGGATGGTTGGTGATAAAGTGATCAATTAGGGTTTTGGAGGTGCTGGTAACACGTGTGGACCGTTTCACAATCTGTGTAAGCTCGAACATATCCAGTATACCTTGATACCTTTTCGTTAGATGGTCAGAAGGACGAAGCATATCGATATTGATGTCTCCTGTAAGCATTAACATGCCATCCCAGTACACAGTCAGGTATCCAGGTAAGTTCTCTAAACTATTCAGCCAATCGGAAGGACTGAGCATGCGCTCGGAATTATGGATCACACCTACAAGAGCCCTACTATACCTATTGCGGCCAGGCACCTCTGTCCATAGGTGTTCAAGTTCTGGGTATCACATAAATAGTTTCTTTTCTATTTAATTTTAAATCACATTATTGTACATGTTGTGGCATATATTCTGTTATAGCATTTTCTTTCTTTCGTAGTTGCTCCAAGCTTTTGTCTAAAAGTAACCAGAGGCTGATTGCGAAGCCATTAATGTGAAAATGACTCTTTATTCTCATACAAATAAAACCAGAAGCCTATGACCCATAGGCTCTTGATAAAACTCATTTTCAAAAGAAAGGTTTTGCACTTAGCCTCGTTTTGAAAGTGAGAATTTTGGATTACTTGGAAATGGCCTATTAAAAAATCCTCCTCTTGGTATTGCATCTTCAGTCCATGATGTTTAATTATGTTTTCTTACTGACGCAATTTAATCAGCAGTTTGATTTCCTTTGCAGTTAAGGCAATTCTCAGGGTGACTTCAGGTGGGATCTTGGTATCCTTGGAAACATGGAAGCTGTATTTCTTTAAGATGCGAACCAGCATCAATTTCATCTCCATCTGAGCAAACCTCATACCAATACAGTTGCGGGGGCCATGGCCAAATGGCATATAGGCGTATGGGTCACGTGACTGTTTGGCTTCAGGTGAAAACCTTTCTGGGTCGAACCTTTTGGGGTTAGGCCAGAGCTTGGGGTCCCTGTGTATACTGTAGTTTGGGACAGTCACAGATATACCCAGTGGTACTTTCAGATTTTTCAGAATGCAGTCTTCCTTGCAAGTACGAATGCTAAATGGAGCTTTAAAGAAAAGAAAAAATGAGAGGACGGGCTTCAATTTTGAAAGTTAAGTTTTACCTGAACTGAGTTCAAGAACATAGATACTTTTGTTTTTGGCCATCTTAGCTTAAGAAGAAACAAAAAGCAAACTGCTGTGATAAACATAAGGAAATATAAACACATTTCAGCCAACATACATCTTCAGAAGTAACAAACCGTTAAACAACAACAGAAATTTAAAGGTAGAGTAACAACAACAACAACAACAACATAAACTTTATTTGCATGACTATGATTATGTAGTTACAGTATTGCAAAAGCTTTAACATAAAAAAAAACAAACAAACACACAAATCATAACAATGATAATGCAATACAATGATTACTATAGTCAACCAAGTGTCATCAGCATGATTTCATAACAAATTACATAAATCATTACATAATGAGACAAATTTCAACAAATGTGAATTTATGGAAAAATTCTGTGAATTCATCAATTTAATTATTAATTCTGTGTAAGATAGCTGATTAAAGTCGACAAAATTTTGTTGGATTTGATTGTAGAATTTCTCCCTTGGGATTGAGTATTTTGGACAATGGCAGAGAAAATGAAATTCGTCTTCAATTATACCAGAGTTACAAATAGGGCAGAATCTATCGTTGCGGGAAGTTTGATTATATCTTCCAGTTTCAATCATGAGTTTGTGGTTACTTAAACGAATTTTCACTAAATCTTTCCTATTAACAGAATTTCTAATTAAGTCTAGATAACTTGAAATTTTATAATCATGTTTAAATAAGCTGTAAAATTGTAGTTTTTTAGAATGATGGATTGTATGTTGCCAATATGCAATATATTTTTGTTTTATTATATCTATATAGTGTTTGATCTTAGCTTCACTTAAATTATTAGGATCAAAATCAGGGAGGTCATAATATTCAGATATTTTCATAAGATTATGGTAAAAGCTATTTTTACCATTACAGTGAAGTTCTAGCGAAGTACGAAAGGCTTGTTTAACAATAGTATCCTCGTTTTTACGCAGAAGATACAATATGTAATAAAGGAATGTTTTTATAAATATTAATAATTAATGGCAACCATCCTAATTCACTTCTACTTGCAACATTTGAAGCTTTATTGCTTATTTCTAGGTAACGCTTGCAAAATTTCAAGTGGGTTTTTTCAGTTGGGGTATTGTCCCAAGCTTTAAAATCATGTTTTACATACACACCCCAAATTTCGCTATTATGTGATAATTAATATTGGGGAAATCATCATTTCAAATATTTTGCAAGCAAGAGAAGGTTTTAATTTGCTAAAGTTTGTGTGTTTTCTTAAACTAAAAAGAGCATGCAGAGCCTTCTCTTTCAAGTGTTCGAGTGAGATATTAACATTACCGGTTGAGGAGATACGGGTTCCTAAATATGTGTATTCATGGACAATATCAATGGTTTCTTTACCTATATGGAATTCTAGATTGGAGTTTTTCTTCGCTTGTTTTTGAAAGACCATAACTATGGTCTTTTTGGAATTTATATCTAATATCTAAGAGTTGCAAAAAGAGGATAATGTGTTGAGACAGTTCTGTAATCCTATTTCAGATTGTGATATAATAATTAAATCATCAGTAAATAACTAATTAAAGACAAACAAAAAAAACATTATAATAGTAAAAAATTTGCATATAAAAGAGAAAGTATGCAAATTAAAAAAGGTAAAGTTTTTCCCTGCTGACATTTTTACTTAGGAAAGGTTGTAACTCCAGGCTAATCAGCAGAGTCTCCGTTATCTTTTTGAAATAGGTGTCTGACCATCCTTATGTCAAAATATTGAAATGCCCCCCCTGACAGTAAACAAATACTAGGTAACCCCCTTACCAGCAGGATAAAGCCTCAGTGTCTCAGATATAACCATGTCCAAATATGGTAGTTCATTTACTGTCTCATAAGAAGGCATCTTGCTTTCATCATCCCAAACACTGTCAATCTCCTTCTGTAGTTTTTCCTGTATGTCAGCATTGGTGGCCAGGCTATAACAGACAAATCCCAGTGTAGTACTGCTTGTTTCATAGCCAGCAATCAGAAAAATCACACTCTGTGCCAAAACCTCATCAACAGTCATTTTTTTGGAGTCCGGCAGTGTTGGGTCCTGTGCTGCCAGTAACATGACATCCAATAAGTCCTACAACAAGAAACGCAACAACTATTTACGCCTTAATCGTCTTCAACTTCATGATATTTTTTTTTTGATTCACAATAAAATGGAATCCCGATACTTTGCCTCACGACTCCAGGACTTTCAAGGTATAATGAAATGCATGATTTGCATGACTCATGGGATGATTCCAGCTCCAAAACTCTAACAGACTTAGACATACCATTTCTATACAAAAACAGTGCACCTCATGTCTGAAATCAATAAAAATAAGCAACACCCGTCAGGACCCAATAACCTGGATACAGCAACTCCCATACTAGGCCTGTCACATAATTGTTTTCACAGCCCAGTTTATTCTTAGATAGATTTCACAGCAATAATAGTCAAAATGAAAGTGCCAATCTATCTTTAATATCATTTGAAGTTTTAGATATAAAAAAGAAAAAATAAATGAAACCTTTCAGGTCTGTAGATTTTGCTAACTGTGGGGCTTAAAGATATAATTTCTAACTTTGTGCAAAAATCGTTCTAAAAATAAACTGGTCAGTGAAAACGCCACAACACTAGTACATGGAAGTTGCACACATTGGGTTATGGACTCCTGCCCTTGCCTAATAAATTCTCCCATTTTCGACAAAGAAAGAACAAATTAAAATACTTGGAATATGTGATACTCTATACAACCCTTTTACCATGGTGCTCAAGGATAATGATGCATATTGAAGTTTATTGTTAGGATTACCATAAATGAGTACATCATTGATGACACACTCCAAGTTTGGTATTTAATGTTTAAGGGTTTGTTCACTTGAAATGATAAATTAACAATGGAAACTAGCAACGCAAACAGAAGTAATGAAATAAGCTCATTTCTTACTGTTATATTGTATTGTTAGTTAATCACTAGTCTTAATTTTTATAAATTGTATTATTACACAGCATGTCTGATAACCAGCTTGCTGAGCCATTTACTGTGTTTAAATAAAGTTGATTGATTGATTGATTGATTGATTGAAGCACCTTCTTTGCCGACCCCCCCCTCACACAAACTAATTTGGATATTGTTATAATGGAGCCAAGTAACCAACATTATTGTGGAATTGCATACATTTTAGACTTCCTACTGATGAAGAGCTATGAATACCTTCCTAGGTGTGGAACTTTCTGTTTGATTCTTCAAGGAAACAATATGTCGTGCAATGTCCATCAAGTCTTTCATGTCGCGAGTTAGCAGGCTTGGGAAAACTTTAGCTATTTTATCTCTAAAAGGAATTAACGAGAGAGCAGCAAGGATGGCTCTTTGCAAAGCAGTTCCATTAATTGATCTTTTTGCAGCAGTTATGGCTGGGTCATCTGGGTTGTTTTGTGCATCTGCTTTCATTCCAAATGCACACTGTAAAATCACATCCATAGTAAGACCTTGAAAGTACCTGAGAAAGTTCAAAACAAAACAGGATAGAAAGTGTCTTTACTGATAAAATGAAAATAAAGAGGAATATGAAGGAACAACAATCATGTTACTTCATGACATCAAAGCTTTCTTCTGTCCTCGAAAATTCTTCCATTTTTATCATCAAAGTGTCACAAGCCGAGTTCATGAGTGGAACCATCTGTTTCATTTTGTGAGCACTAAAGGTGGGACTCAGGGTGTTACGGATACGCCTCCAGTCTTCACCTTCAGCAAGACTTAGCATTTTGTCATAGGGTTCTGGAAACTTCACCATAAGCTGCAAAAACAAAGGTTTTAGTATACAACATACACATCCTATGATTAACACACATGATTAGTTACTCCGTTATAGTTTAAGTTCGTCACAATTTGCAAAACTTACAGGCCGATCTCGAAAAGCTTGAAATTTCTTCACAAACACTTCTTTGACCATGTCTAAATCAGATATCACCAGAGTAGGTAAGCTGCCCAACAAGTACATGCCAAACACGTCTCCATATCTTTTGTAGTACTCGTCTATTTGCAGATGCATCTGACCTTTATGTCTTACTGCATCGAGCATGTTACCGATGAATGGAAGAGCTGTGGGTCCTGGAACTTTGTCGTCGAAAGCGTTTTTCAGAACGCGAAAAGGTGCAATACCCCAAGAATAAACAGAGAATATTATGAGCGTAGCAACAGCGATTGTCCACCACTGGGATATGAATTGCTCGATCAAGGTCAATAAATCCATATTCCTGCTTCTTTATCGACTCAACTTTAGAATACCCTCAACGGGGAAAGCCATTTGCGCCACTGCTCCCCCGAGTTGACCATTCCCCTTTTATTTTGGGCGAAGCCTCCCGGAAAAGGGCGAGCACACCCCCACCCCTCCCCCTTCCGGGTCCTACAAAAACGGCCTGCGAAAGTCACAGATCCCATACGAGGCAAGAACAAATCATCATAAGAAAGATTTACTACCATGACCGAGACAAACTAGGCTCCTATACATTTAAGGCTTTTCTTCCATAACAAGCAAACTTAAAAATGCTCACAGACGCATCAATGCCATTTCCTGCGAAAGTTTTGATACCCTACAGGCGTACACCAGAGGGTACAAGTATGAAATATTCCCCTCAACTGCAATTAAAATAATGTAGATGTATTTCAGCACGAAACCCTTCTACCCTATAAAAACGTGATTCGATTGCGAAAGGTGCCAATGTAAAGTGATTGACGTTTCCATCCGTTGTGGCTACCGGATATGATGAGCATAAATCCTATTGTCTTCGCGAACGCGGGAAAATAAATGTCACACATGTGACCTTTGTGTTTACAAACCTTGGTGTATTTTGAACGATTGAGAGAGGCTATTTATAAGTTTCGCTCGTTCATGTGGACAAGAGAATTTTATTTGGTCTTAAAGTATCTTTAGTGCGGTAAAATATTGGATTTACCCCTTGAGATATGTTAAAAACGTGGCCAACCTGAAGAACGAGTTGCTATTCACGCTTTATCGGAAATTTGAGACCGTCTGAACCATACGCCCTTGGACTTTTTCGTCATCTGCATTGAAACACGAACTGGTTTTAGCGCAGAAGGACCGTATTGCTTGGGCCTGAAAGATCTTGGTCTGCGGTGGCTCAGTAATTTCGAGCAAATGTGGCTGCGTTGTTCGTATCGTATCGTGTTTACTCTAGTTATCGCCGCCTTTCCATTCATCGGATTTTGTCAAGGTAAGTAAGTTTCTTGTGTCAACGACAATGGTTTCCCGTCGTTTCAACAACTCCCAGCCTGTGGCGTTGTTTATTGTTATCTCAATAATTATTTGTGACTATTGTAACCACCGTAACTTAATTCATAAGCAGCTAAATCTTGATCGAGGTTCTTTGTACGCAAATGTGGTCATAAAATTACAATAGTAAGTTTAAAAGCTTATTTTTACGTAATCTTACTTTTTTGCGTAGCATAAGCTTTATACAATGTTGTTTACGTTTTGCTGTTTGTGGTTTTGTAGGCAAAAAGCGTTTGATTGTAGTTAAAGTACTGTATGTCTACTACAAGGATCTCTGGTCATCCTCCTCGCTGCGATCATAAGGCAGCTAAATATGCTGCGATGAGGGTCGCCATATTGAAGCCCATTTTTGTAACAACATGAAATTCACATTTTCGTGGAATATGAAAGCAATCCTTTGTAAAAAAGAAATACAACGCGTTGTAGATAAGCAGGATCCAAAAAAACGATGCTGATCACAACGATATGCCCCGCAAGGTGAAGTAGTCACGAGGCATTTTACGGTTCAGTCCGTAAAATATAAGCTTAAAGGTTACTGCTTACAGTTGTTTATATTTGCATAACAAATCTCTTTTACTTATTAAAACTTTATTGCCCTGATATTAGAAATATATATTTTTTCAATGTCAAAAGATACTTCAAGATAGTGTTTAGCTGTCATATTGAGAATTGAGAGAGTGAATTTTAACTAGAAATACTGACCAGTAGGTGCATCACAGAGCCTCGAGAATCACAGGTAAAGGACCAGAAGTAGAAAGTAAGGGGAGAGAAGCCAATGGGGAAAAGAAAATATATATATATTTTTAAAAACAAACGAAACAAATAAGCAAATAAAACAACAACAACAACAACAACAACAAAAAAGAAAAAAATAGGATGGGTTCTCGCTAAGGAGGATTCGTACCCAATACCTTTGGCCTTGACGCAACCTCTCCTTACCACTACACTACAAAGGATGATTACGCAAGTCTGGTGAAAAGTCTTTGATTTAAGGCCTTTCCCATGAAACTTCCCCCAGCAAACGCCGTTTAAAGCATCTAATCTGTATGCGAAACTCAAAGCATACAGACTAGACGAGAACAAGAATGCTCTAAAAACATTGAAGTCTCGCTTACTTGGAGATAGATAAGAAGTGAAGAGGCGATTTATTCTAAACGAAACAGGATTTCCTTGCTAAAAGTTTTTCACTCTTGACGATGATTGAGTCGTGTTTTAATAAACGAAAATCGAGAGTTATTACATCATTGCAAGAGAGAAAAAAATAGTCCTTTGGGAGGGCATGAGCTTACTGGCAGTGAATAGTCTGTGCAAAGAAAAGGGCAGTGCCAGATACCTATGGTGCAAAGCATAATTGTTTAATGCTGTGTGCTAAAAGGACAATTTTCCAAAGAAAAAATTTAAATTATTTAATAGTTTGTATCGCTCAGTGTACCTTAGCCTGCGTAGCAAGCGTTTCCAATCGAGTTATTGCGCGAAAGTTAGAGCCAAGCGTTTCCAATCGAGTTATTGCGCGAACGTTAGAGCCGAAGCAAAAAAAAGGTTGAAGGGAGAGGGGGAGGGGAGAAGAGGAAACGCTTTCCCGCAAACCCCACGATTCTGGAAAACGCCCCTTGATATTTCACGTTTGGTTCATTTGTAAATTGACAGCTCGTCAAAATAGAAACATAACGAACAGATTACCCCTGGATTGTTACCAGATTTGTAAAATTACTTTGTTCTCTAATAGAACACGTTGCAGGCGATTGCAAGAACTGTAATAAAAAAGATTTACGATAAAAGAAGGTTGAAAGTATGAGCGATTGCTGCGGAATTGCTTGTTTTTTTATTGTGTGGCTCTATCTCGTCTGAAACCTTGTCGACACGTCAAAAATGATATGTCCGGAACAATTCACTCCGGGGATAAGTTTTGCAGAGCGGCTGCTCTTCAGCCTGTGTCGAAACGTTCTCTACAATAGATGCCGCCAAATTTCCAATAAACAAAAAGAATCTTTTCATTTCAAAAAGCTGACAAATCGCTTGTCCATGGCGGCTTTAGCTAGTGTCGAGTACCGATGCTCTGATTTATGTTGATGTTATCTTCAACAAACAGTCCATTTTTTTCCAGTCAGATCCGCACGCTGTCATACACAATAAATAGGCCCTCCCTAGTCTCCACTGCTCGATCTCCAATCATACTTTGAAGACTGATCTCATAAACCTTCACACAAACACGATTCAAATAAATATCAGTCCAAAATATTTGTAATCTGCGACCACGAATCAGATGAGACCAGATCTGTGACGCACGAAAACAAAGCATACCTGCTTTGATTGATGTTTCGAATGCTAAGTAATCAACACTACCCGCACCGCGCCAATCAGAAGCTGCGTTCGTGGGCGAACGCAGTTTTTCAAAATCGTGGGGTTTGCGGGCAAGCGGTTCCTTCGTTCCCCTCCCCCTCCCCCGTCATTAATTTGTTTTGGTCTTGTCCCAGCTTTCTAGACGAACCTCGCCAGGAAACGCTTGCTACGCAGGCTAAGTGTACCTTGTTTTTTCAACACATTTGTTTTCTATTTCCAACATGTTTGTCGTGCGTTATCTGTAGAAAACGTACGTAATTTACATGGTAAGTATAATTAAAACACTGCCTGTACCTAAAGCTACTACTTATGGCCTTCATTCTTTATCATGCTGCTAAACAATGGAACTTACTACCGGATTCTGTGTACCAGTGATTTTGCAAAGTTTAAAAAGCAATGAGCTAGCTTAGACAGTAAATAAGTTGAAGTATATTGTATACACCTATTTCAATTAAGGTTGCTCCCGCGAACCATGTTTCATAGGCCGCAGTGCACTATGGTAAACCTTTTTGTAGCGGGAAGTTTAGTCTTGTTCACGTTCATTGAAATAATGGAGGCCATTTGTGAAAAGGCGTTCAAGAGAGCTTTCAAGTCAAATAGCTGCTAAAATTCTTAAGCATGAGCGAGCTGAAAAATTTCATTTTTAAAATCTCATAGTAAAAAATTAGAAGCCTCTTCTTTTAACAACATTAAATGAAGAGGGTTTTACCGCCTGATTCAGATCCATTTTTGCATGGGCCAGACTCCTGGTTATTTCAATAAAGCAAATCAACGCTATTCTTTTTTTTTTCATTCAGATTAAAAAAAATGCCTCAAAAGTAGATAAACACGTAATGTTAAGTTATTTATTATTGTTCAACAAACGCCTTGAATTTGATTTTTTTTAATCTCCATGCAAAATTCCCACGTGCAAGAGCCAAGCCAACTCGTTGAAAATTTGTAGCATTTGCATATTACCACAGAGGAAAACCTAACCTCAAATCATTGTCTTAAATTAAAAAGCCTAGGATTCAGTGCTTTGAAATAATATAATAATAATAATAATAATAATAATAATAATAATAATAATAATAATAATATTATTATTACTGAAATACATTATCTTAACGTTCTGCTGACATAGCATAGAAGCATCGGCAGCATTTGCTTTCTAGGTTTCTAGGCTCGTTGCGGGCACATAATTTACTAGACTTGTTAGAACATGATTTCGATGATTTGTTTACGCGCACGATAATGCACCGCGGGCTATGAAACACGGATCATGCATCATTATTCTCTGAAGCAACCTTAATTGAAATAGGTGTATACAGGTAGTGTTATTTTCAATCAACTTTCCACAAGATTTTTTTTTATTTTTTAATTCGAGGAAAATTAAAGGTTATGTATGTTTGTATGTATGTATGTATGTATGTATGTATGTAAGTATGTAGAGCTGATCAAGCTGTATTAAACACAAATTCAAAGTCATATTTCAGGAAAATGACCAGGCCATTGACAGTAAAAAATTAATGTAAATGCATTTCATGGCAATGAAAGAACATATGCCCAACAAAGCTGACACATGTACAGCTTGTCTGCTAAGTAGGATGCAAAATATATGTTTTCTTAGGTCGATTTCCGCTGTTATTTTGAAGCTAATGGTCCAAATCACATCCATTTTCTGTAAAAGATAGTTCTACCTTCGAAATTTATCATTAAAAGCATTTCTTGACCTCTTAAACGGCCGCCAAAGCAACTGGGCCAGGTTTATGGCGGTTTTGTTTATACGCTGCATTGTTGTTAGGCAACTGCATTTGCCCAAACCGACAGACAGAGAGAGAGATTTATGACCAAAGCAAGATCATGCCTTGCTTAATGATTGTCATGTGCGTTGTAGTCATGTTCTGTGCTCATGACAAATTTATAAACTTGCTTCACGATAATTATTGTTTTGGAACCCTTAAACATACTTAGGCAGGCTTGATTTACTGAAGTTTGGTCACGTTTTAAACTAAACAGGCTAATATTATTAACAGGCTTGTAGTAATAACTCAGTGTTTAGCTTTTGGAAACAACAGTTAATATTTAAGTGGTATTCGAGCATACTGTTGGTATATATGTAAATTACAAGCATATATGTTTGGCCTCAGCTATAACATACTCCTCCTCTGACAGGTGATTCCTGACTCCATCCCCCTCCCCCAAAGTCTGTAGGGATGGGAGCTTGTATGCTGATGCCATAACCAAATTTTCTCGGATGGATAGATAACCAAATTTTCTTAGCTTTGGAGCTCCTATATTAATAGTTATGGTTTGGTAGATAAATTCGTTTATTATTATCTTTCATCAACACCAAATAAGTTGCAAAACATTAAGCCCCATCCACACAAATGCAGATATTTGCACAAGTGCACATCTTTTTCTTTGAATCATCCTTCTATATATCTACATGGAAACAGTGAATCTGCTCACTAAAAATGCCTTTCTTTGAAACCGCTGTCTGGATCTCTCTGGATTGGATTTTTTCAAATTGATGCGTTTGGCAAATTCTTTTAGATGACTGAAACTGGATATTTTTTTAATCTGTAGACAAATTTAAACTAAGCTGTATTTTTATTCCAGGATTGTCAGGCTCAATTCCTAAGGCTACAACACTCCAAAAGGTTCGACTTCTCAAAATTGTTCAAGATTCCATAGATTTATTAGGTTCACAGATCATCAAGACAGCCACAAGAACACAACATGTTTTCACACACCTCCCCAGAGCACTTGCGAACTAAACCTTATTTCATTGTGCACAAAGTCAACTACATGTATGTCATAAACCCGAATCCAGACTTAAATGAAAAACTTGCAAATTCGAATAGGCAGGCAACAAGCTTGAATACTATTCTTCAAATGCCAGTCAAAGTTTTCCATCGACTTTGCTCTTTGTGATTATCAAAAATATCAACCATCCAAATTTCTAAACGTACTGCAAGAAGCATTATTTCGTAAACTAGTGGTGCTAGTAATGTGCAATTTTTAATATATATTCATATGTTTTTTCTTTAGACTTATTACCCTATCCTGTAGGATTGTACCCTCTTAATAATATTCATAAAACTGATGATGCCAGTTGCTATGCTAACCTGGGTGGTACTGCTGAGGATGCTCACCTTGTAACAGGTCCACTCAGTGAACCAGATACTGCTTACGAGTTTGCAGGGAGCAGCACAAGTTACATTGATATTCCACAATTGCAGCACTTTGATGCCGACACTTCTATCACAATATTGGTGTGGATTTTACAAACTGGACAGGCTGGGTCTGTATTTAAATATGGCAATAGTGACAGGGGAGTAGGAAGGTGTTCATCATCTATGACTTATTCTTTAGAACTTTACACATCAAGAACTTCTTTTAGTGCACAATTTGTTGAACCCAATGGAGAGTCAGTTTCTCTTAGTAATAATACAGTCACTCTTGTCAACAAGTGGCGTTATGCTGGTGTGTCGTACAACCACAATAGTGGCACTGCAACATTGTGGATAGATGGTAATGATGTTCAGAGAAAAAACCTAAAGAAACTGAAATTATGTACAGATGGAAAAATTCGGATTGGTGGCAGAGAAGAAGAAGACAAAAGCTTTCAAGGAAGAATATCATGCCTACAGATTTATGATAAAGAACTTACAACCAAGGAAATAACAGCTGTAAAAAACAGATGTTTCAATGGTAGTCAACGTATGTATGATTATCTTATTTTATTATTTCAGAGTAATAAAACCAACGGTTTATAAGTGAAAGTGATCAACCACATAGCAATACAGTGCAACCTAAATATGATTTATTTTATTTTTACTTTCCGACACAAAATATAAGGAATGGAGTTTAGCTCTACAGTTGAACCCCCTTAGCATGTTTACTTCATATAATGCCACAGATGAAAGAAAAATTGCCAACAGTTACCTGTCAGAAAGAATGTGGTGTTTATTTAAGGATTATAAGAAAAAGAAACTTAATAAAACTTATAGTAATCTTCTAAATAAGAGAAAAGAAAGCAAGAGATTGAGGATTTGGAACTTTAATCCCACCTTTCTGTTTTACACATATATTATTTACAAATCATTTACCCTAACTGTTGTTAGTGATTTTGAAATAAATGTCACCCTTGAATAATGTTAAAATGCAATAAACATCATAGCGTTTAATGAAAGAAATACGATCAACTTTTTATTTTTGATATCTGATGATCACTTAATGTGAGAAACTGATGTGACTGCCTCTAATTCTCTATCTCCAAATTTTGTACTTTTGATGTATATGTATCAGTTATGACCCACATGATACAAACACCCTTCCTCTTTGTGTTGGCCCCCTCAGTGTCTGTATTAATGTTTCAGTTGACTAGGAGTTTAACATGGGGCATCTTTTCACACTAGCAAATAGAAGCCCTGGAAACTGTACCATAACCAAAACCATAATAGTTTGAAACTTTGAGAATACAATGTATCAGGATATGTGTTTTAGCATGAAGTACAAAGAAAGATCAAATCAAGGATTCCTTGTATCTGGGAGAGGTGTTAAATAAATTCTTGTGTTTCCCTTAAAATGTATTGATGGTTTAGGGTAATATTTTGAGTGGGATACTACACTCAATGTTAAAGCAAGCTTATGTGAAGTAAATAATAATATATAGTAAAACAGTTGCTTTTTGTCCTTTAAACAGCTCCCGTGGACTGTACAAAAGCTTCTATGCAATGTAAGTGTTAGCTCAGTTCTGTCCTTGAATAGAACACAACAATGATGCTTTTTAACTGGTCTAAATTAGTGCTTGTCAAATTTAGAATAAATACATTGTATTATTTGTAATATTATTTATTATTTTTGTTTAATAGCATGTGGTGTATCTATGAGCACCCAGTCAGGAACATTCTCCTCTCCAGGGTACCCCGCTGGGTATCCTTATGATACAGCCTGTAAGTGGGATATAAAAGTTCCAAGTGGATACATCATTACTTTGAAGTTCAAGTGAGTTATATTTTCTTCAGTGTTCAGGGTGTTCGGTTTAACACAGCGCGACAACCTTGCAAGATGCCATACTTTTAATCCCTACTTCATGTAAGATGCATCCTAGTTACATAAACTTACCAACAGCTAAATATGGTCAAAACAACCATATACGTAACATCTCCCTTTTCTTAACAAAAAAATAAGCAATCAAAAGTTTAACTAACACAATAGAACACTGTCCTCTCTTAAGCGAAATCTGATCAGACTGACCGAACCTAGACCCAAGAAAAAACTAAAATGTTTAAAGTCTCAAACAGTTCCACATTATAAAGACTCAAACAGTTCCACATTTCAAAGTCTCAAACAGTTCAACATTTTAAAGTCTCAAACAGTTCCACATTTCAAAGTCTCAAACAGTTCAACATTTTAAAGTCTCAAACAGTTCCACATTTCAAAGTCTCAAACAGTTCAACATTTCATGTCAAAATCCTTGAATCTCCCTGGTGGACGAATGCTGCGGGTCCTTGTCTTGATACCAGGTACTGAAGCCTTTGTCTCTTCAGGAATGTCGCCACTTGAGGAGGTTTTGGAAGGACTGCTGGTAGGCTTAACTTGGTGTACCGGATCTCTGTGTGTAACATTGTCAGGGTTGGCGTCTCTATTGGCTTGTACTGACGGTTCCCTTGCAGGCTTTAGGAACTGCCTGTTTCTTCTTAATGATGTCCCACCCGTTTGAACTACGTATGACCTGTCTGACAGCTTCTCAGTGCAGATTCCTTGCTCCCATGTTCGATTCTTACGAAGGGGTGCGACTCTCACTTCCTGCCCAATTTCCAGCTCTGGTAACAGTCTGACATGTTTGTCATGGTAGAATTTGGCCTTTTGTCTTTTCAGCTGAAGACTATCAACAGAACTGTGATTTACAGTAGGGCGCAGCAGACTTGCAGCGGTCGGCAACAAGGTACGGGTTCGCCTTGACATAAGCCTCTGGGCAGGGCTTGCCCCTACACCTTCTGTGGGGGTGTTACGATAGTCGAGTAAAGCTAGCCAGGGGTCTTGTCTGTCACGCTCTGCTTTCTTGAAAAGCTGCTTAACAATCTTTACAGACGATTCTGCTTTGCCATTACTCTTCGGATGGTGAGGTGAAGATGTGACATGATTGAATTCCCAGGAGAGGGCGAACTCATGAAACTCTTGGCTGCTGAACTGAGATCCATTGTCTGAAACGACTGTATCCGGGATACCGTGTCTACTAAACTGCTCTTTCAGGGCCTGTATGACTGAAGTGGAAGTAGTGTCCTGCAGCTCACTAACTTCAATGAAGTCAGAAAAATAGTCCACAACCGTGATGTAGTTCTTGGAGTGTAATGTGAACAAATCTGTAGCTATCTTACTCCAAGGACGGTCTGGAATTTGGTGTGACTGCATTGGCTGACTTGCATTCTGGGCTTGAAATTCGGCACATACTGAGCACTTCTCAACCTGGTCTTTGATTTCAGCACTCATTCCTGGCCAGAACACAATATCTCTAGCCTTTCGTAAGCATGAAGCAACACCTTGGTGACTTGAATGGATCCTCGAAAGTATCTCAGGTCTCATGGCTTTAGGGACTATGACTCTTTGGTTCTTGAACAAAATCCCATTGTGGAGTGAAATCTCCTCTCTGTAATTCCAAAAATCTCTCACTTGTATTGGCACTTGTTCTTTCTTCTCAGGCCAGCCGGTAACTACTGTTGTCTTAAGGGTTTCTAGAGCCAGGTCTTGGGCTGTGGCTTTCTGCAACTGTGTTAATCTCTCAGGGGTTACTTTGATAGAGTCAAAAGGATTGAGTGACTCGAGCTCAAGAACAAATACTTGAAAGCTGTCTTGTGTGTTGTCTGTAGCTTTCAGTGAGGCTCTGGAGAGGTGATCGGCAATGAACATCTGAGTGCCAGGCTTATAGTTAACATCAAGATTGAAGCGCTGCAACCTTAGTAGCATACGTTGCAGGCGACAAGGAGCAGAAAGAATGGACTTTCGGAAGATGCTCTGCAACGGCTTGTGGTCTGTTTCAACTGTGATTTTCTCACGACCAGCAAGGTACTGACTAAATCTTTCGCAGGAGAAGACAATAGCCAAACACTCTTTCTCAATTTGGGCGTACTGTCTCTCAGTTCGTGATAAAGATCGTGAAGCAAAAGCAACGGGTTGGCCGTTTTGCAGAAGGGCTGCTCCTAACCCATGTTCGCTGGCATCACACTGCACCACCACTGGTTCTTGTACATCATAATACTTAAGCACAGGATGCTTGACTACTAGCTCACGTACTTCCTTGAATGCTGTCTCATGCTGCTGTGACCAGATGAACTTTGCTTCCTTTGCGGTCATTTCTCTCAGTGGCTGCACAACTTCTGACAGCTTTGGAAGAAACTTAGATAAATAATTTACAAATCCCAGCAGCCCCAGCAGCTCCTTCTTAGATGTGGGTCTTGGCATTTGCTGAACAGCCTTGATTTTTTTCCGGATCGGGCTTGAGACCATCTTTTGTAATTAGATGACCCATGAATTTGACTTCAGTCTTACGAAGATTTAACTTGCTGCTGTTTAAGCGTAGGTTGGCTTTGCGAGCCTGCTCAAGTAAGCGGGTCAAGTTCTCATCATGATTTCTATTGGCTTCAACTTCATTTTCTCCATAGCCCATCACCAATATATCATCCCTTATCACTGCTACCCCAGGAAGACCTTCCAGCTTCTCATGGAGTTTACGTTCAAACTCTTCTGGAGCTAGATTAATTCCAAAAGGTAACCTTAGGTACTTGTAGCGGCCAAAGGGTGTCCAGAATGTGGTCTTCAGACTGCTCTGCTCATCTAATCCAACTTGATAAAATCCATCTTTAGCATCCAAAGTGGTGAACACCTTTGCTTTACTGAGCTTGGGTAGTAATTCGTCTAGAGTTGGCATTTGGTACTTGGGGCGAATGACTGCTTTATTCAGATCTTGGGGATCAAGACAAATTCTTATCTTGCTTGGCGTGGTGACCACTACCATGCTGCTAATCCATTCTGTTGGTATGGTGACCTTTTCCACAATTCCTTTGCTTTCTAAGTCCTCCAGTTTTCCTTTAACTTTATCTCTGAGGGCTATTGGGACTCGGCGTGGAGAGTGCTGTGTGGGCTTTACCAGAGGATCAGTGACGATGGTTGTGTTCCCAATATGTCCTAATCCTTCAAAAACATCCCTGTAGTTGGCCATAATTTGCTCTCTGGTGAGGATTTTGCTCTCCAGTGAGTGGACCTCTTCATAAGGTTCTATCTCCACCTTAAGAAGACCCAATTGCGCACACGTCTCAGCTGATAGAAGGGGCTTATTAGGGCTCTCTACTACTTGGAATTGCAGGTCGTACTGTTTTCCTCTTCTTACTACAGCGAGGGTGGTTGCACCTACTGGTTGCATGAAGGTACCATCTAATAATTTGACAACCTTGCAAGATGCCATCAAATAATTTGAGCTTAGATTTGGTCACGTTTAGAGGAGGATTGCCATCTTGCAGCAGCTGGA